AAAAAAAAGAAACAGGGTTTCATCATGTTGGCCAGTCTGATCTCGAACTCCCGGCCTAAAGTGATCCACCCAGCTCAGCCTCCCAAAGTGCTGGGATTACAGGATTACAGGTGTGAGCCACCGCGCCCGGCCAAAACTGTGACTTTCATTGATGCGGTCCATTTGGGACAACTTCCTGAAGCAGAAAGCAGAGTGGAGAGTGGATTTAAGGGAAAACATAAGATGTCTGGTACAGCATACAACAGCATTGATTCAGAGGAGGGTAGGAGTACTGAACCCAGGAGAGGGAGAAGGAATGTCAAGCTTTCGGGAGGCTGCTCAGCAATGTTCCGGTCCCTTAGCCTGCATGATTAGCCGCTTCCTAACTCTCAGGCAATTTTCATCTCTCTGGACCTATTTCTTCTATCTATAAATTGATGGAATTAGTCTAATGATATCTAAGGTCCCTACTATGTGCACAGCTAGTGTGACAAGGTCCTTAGCTGCATGATCTTTAATTCTGACAAATGTTACTATCACAAATATTTTAACATTTTTACTCTTGTGGTTACAAATCAACAATCTCTGGCACTATGACAACAAACCTTTCAGTATTTACAAAGAAGTTACTTGCCCATCTTAGAAACTAGCCAGTCAACAACTCAACTTCATAATAAGTTACAGAATAAGCATTAATTTATTTTGTTGTAAAATAGTCACTTTTCATTTTAGATGGGAAAACTAGACGAGCTGAGATTCAATCCATGTGAGCGGCTGCAGAGCCGCTACCCTTAACAGCTCTCTGTCTCTAACACAGACGGGATTCTAACATTCCCTTCTGTGATGGAGACACCGCAGGCTGGGACACGAATCCCGGCACCGGTCCGCCGCTGGGTGTGAGAGGCGGCGCCCCGCGGGCCGGAAGTCGGGCAGCGAGCGGCGTGCAGGGGCCCCGCCCTCCTGCGCTGGGTTCTGTGCGGGGGGCGGGGGCGGGGGCGGGGTCTGTGGTAGCGGGAATCCCGACCCCGCCCCTTTCCCCACCCCTCCATTTCTCGCAATGGCCCCGGCACTGCTCCTGGTCCCTGCCGCCCTCGCCTCTTTCATCCTGGCCTTTGGCACCGGAGTGGAGTTCGTGCGCTTTACCTCCCTTCAGCCACTTCTTGGAGGGATCCCGGAGTCTGGTGGTGCGGGTGAGCGGGAGGGATAGAGTATGAACTGGGAGTAGGAAGGTGGAGCCGCTGTAGAGAGATCGAGGGCGGGGCTTGGAAACAAATGACAGGGGAGAGGGAACTTGAACGAAGAAAGCGATCGAGAAGCTACTAGGGAGGGAGACCTGAGGACTAAATTAGGAACTCAAGGATTAGAGGCTTGGAGAGGAGGGAGTGTGAGGATTGAGGGAGCCGGAAAGGGCGATAACCGGAGTATTGTAAGTAAAGTGTTTTGTAGAGAGGACAGTTGAGAAAAGAGTGTTAAAAAGAAGCGGCATTTGGAGAACCGAAATAAAAGGGGCAATCCAGCGGTGACCTCTCCAGCCATGCTTTTTGCAACTGCCCAACATGCGTTGTTTGTTCTATGAATCCTCTTCCCCAGGTTTGCAGGAGGCCTAGGAAAGAGGGCAGAAACTAGGAATGGAAAAGTGAGATGGGCACAGCATAGACAGGAAGCATTAAGGCTCTTGAAAGCAGTAAGGGATATGGCCTGGGGCTCCAAGAGGAGATGAGGGTGGGGGAAATATTCTGCCCCCTTTTTGATCTTTTGTCTCTTTCTCCCTCAATTTCCCATAGATGCCCGCCAGGGATGGCTGGCTGCCCTGCAGGACCACAGCATCCTTGCCCCCCTGGCATGGGATCTGGGGCTCCTGCTTCTATTTGTTGGGCAGCACAGCCTCATGGCAGCTGAGAAAGTGAAAGCATGGACATGCCGGTACTTTGGGGTCCTTCAGAGGTCACTGTATGTGGCCTGCACTGCCCTGGCCTTGCAGGTATGAGGCCCTGGCAGTTGAGTCCCCAAGGGACACCAAGTGTGGGAGGGGTGCCCTGGATTAGAGGGGCAAAATATGGGTTCAGGAGGAGAACTGAGGAGCTAATCTCGGCTTCCATTCCTCCACAGCACATATCCTACTTTTTAATCAAGAAGGCTGTACTTGTCCTTCCCCAAGCACAATATGTGCGTTCTCACCTTTGCAACTTTGTTCATGTCCTGCTTGAGATCCCTTCCTTAACTTCTCTTCAGACCTATGCTTTCTTCAACACCACTTCCCTAGGTCTGAAGAGAAGGCTTTCCATCGTACTTGTCTGTCTTCTCATTGGGTGGCTGGCATAGGCTACTACTTTGTGTAAATATCAGGTCACCCCATCTGTAAGTTTTCAGGGTAGAGACAGGTGATCCTTACATCTCTGGGTCCTCACCCTCCACATGGTGAATATTTGTTGGTGAGGCAGGAGAGGAGTTGGGGGAGAGTTGCAAGCTAGCCTGTGGTGGGGGCAGCCCTGGGTCTGGGTCTCCCAAGGGCAGGCAGCATAGGCCACTGAGATACCCAGCCCCTTATCCTTCCACAGCTGGTGATGCGGTACTGGGAGCCTGTACCCAGAGGCCCCGTGTTGTGGGAGGCTCGGGCTGAGCCATGGGCCACCTGGGTGCCCCTCCTCTGCTTTGTGCTCCATGTCATCTCCTGGCTCCTCATCTTCAGCATCCTTCTCGTCTTTGACTACGCTGAGCTCATGGGCCTCAAACAGGTGAGGCTCCCAGATCCCTACCTACGGGCTCTGGCCCGTTTTAGAACTCCTCTTTCCCTTTCAAGGGTTTCCCTCCTCCCATGCTTTTCTACCTTCTTCTTGCTTCTCTGTCAAAAGGACAGCAATCATGGGCTTCCTGGGGCCTGGGGAAGGTACATGGATCAGAAGTCAGGGTCAGGGGCTGGGTGCGGTGGCTCACGTCTATAATCCCAGCACTTTGGGAGGCTGAGGCAGGTGGATCACGAGGTCAGAAATTCAAGACAAGCCTGGCCAAGATGGTGAAACCCCGTCTCTACTAAAAATACAAAAATTAGCCGGGCATGGTGGCAGTCGCCTGTAATCCCAGCTACTTGGGAGGCTGAGGCAGGAGAATTGCTTGAACCTTGGTGACAGAGGTTGCAGTGAGCCGAGATCTCGCCACTGCACTTCAGCCTCAGCGATAGAGTGAGACTCTGTCTCAAAAAAAAAAAAAAAAAAAAGAAGTCTGGGTCAGGGCCCAAGTCTCAGAAGGCGGGTTCCTGGGCCTGAGTTCTAGGAGGGTGGTGCCTGGAAGAAAAGGAAAGAAGTGCCTAAGCTGAGAAAAGGGCTTGACTTCATTTCTGAGCTCTTCTCCCTCTCTTAGGTATACTACCATGTGCTGGGGCTGGGCGAGCCTCTGGCCCTGAAGTCTCCCCGGGCTCTCAGACTCTTCTCCCACCTGCGCCACCCAGTGTGTGTGGAGCTGCTGACAGTGCTGTGGGTGGTGCCCAAGCTTGGCACAGACCGTCTCCTCCTTGCTCTCCTCCTTACCCTCTACCTGGGCCTAGCTCATGGGCTTGATCAGCAAGACCTCCGCTACCTCCGGGCCCAGCTGCAAAGAAAACTCCACCTGCTCTCTCGACCCCAGGATGGGGAGGCAGAGTGAGAAGCTCACTCTCATTACAAGCCCTGTTTTTCCCCTCCCCCTGAATTCTTTTTGTTGTTGTGATGGAGTCTTGCTCTGTTGCCCAGGCTGGAGTTCAATGGCGCAATCTTGACTCACTGCAACCTCCGCCTCCCAGGTTCAAATGATTCTCCTGCCTCAGGCTCCTGAGCAGCTGGTATTACAGGCTCTCGCCACCATACACAGCTAATTTTTGTATTTTTAGTAGAGACAGGGTTACATCATGTTGGCCAGACTGGTCTTGAACTGCTGACCTTGTGATCCGCCTGCCTTGGTCTCCCAAAGTGCTGGAATTACAGGCATGAGCCACCACGCCCAGTCCCTCTCCCCCTGAATTCTAAATCTTTAACATCCAGGCCCTGGCTGCTTTAGGCCAGAGGCTCAAATCCATGGATTGAAGGAGCTGCCCCTTCCACTACTTGCTACTTTATTCTCTGGGTCCAGCTCCATACTCCAAATTCTGAGTTTCAGCCACTGAACTCCAAGAGTCCACATCTCACCAGCAAGGAAGAGCAGGGTATGGAATTCATCTGTCTCCTCACTGTTTAGGGCATGGCACACTCCCCCTCAACAGCCTCCTAGAAGAAAAGGATCTGCCCTGACCACTCTGCTGGCTGGCACCATTGCTTCCCTCTGTGCCTCTGGGATCCCCTCTTCACCACCTCTGGCTTCCACTCCAAGAAGCCGGACCAGGGTCTGCAAGTTCAAAGGTAGTGGCTGTCCCTCCAGGCCCTACACCTTGCCTCAGCACTCTCGGCCCTAGTGTTTGCACCTCCTTAGGCCCTGCCTCTGGGCTCAGCCCTGAACCTAGTCAAGAGGACTCTTCCGCTCTTAACTCGGGGCTCCCTGTTCTGGATGTTCTGCGGGAAAATAAAAGCCTGATTTTTCTACGTGCTGCATGCAGTCTGTCAGTGTCTCCCAAGCTGCAGGGCTGAGTTTGGGAAGGAAAGCCAGAGGGAGCCTGCGAGCCCGCGAAGTGGAGTCTGGGCAGCCACCACGCCCTCTGGCAACCGCTGGGCTTCGGCCACCACCCCCCACCCCGCCCCCGCTGACCCGCCCCCACTTTGCCAGAGAGGCCGGGTACCCATTCCTTCAATCCCCTTCCCCCCACCCCCCCNCCCCACCCCGCAGCTGACCAGGAGATTCATGGGAGGCAGGTTGAAGCTAGAAAGAGTGGGGACTACAGCTCTGGTAGGAGAACGAGCTTCCAAAACCGCTGGCTTCTGAGTGCCTCTCCTGCCGCCCCCTCCTCAAGGCCTCCTACAGCCCGGTGGCTGCCCTCGATCCGGCAAAAACAAAGACTGGCTGGAGAAGGCAAAATCGTAGGGAGGGCTGAGTGGCAGGAGATGGGAAGGGCGGGCCCGGCTCCGAGCAGCTGCCGCTTCCTCCCAAAGTCCCACGAGGGGCCTGAGTCACGGGCCACCGCCCTGGGTCGGCAAGCTGGGGGAAGAGATCTGGACACCTGGGTTCTTCAGGGCTACCGGGGGGGAAGCGGGTGAGGGCCCCTGGGGACACAGAGCGGAGGACCCGGGGTTGGGGTGAGTAGGGGACAGTCCCAGAGCGAGTCCCACGCGGGGTGGGAGGGAGCTAGGCCCCGCCCTCTCCTCGGGCTCCGCCCTGCGCCCCCTTCCCTCTCCTCATTGTCCTTAGACAAAGCGGTCGCCGCCCCCGCCCGGCCCCCTGGTCTCTGTCTCCGTCCCTCCTCCTTTGCTGCCTCTTTCCCTCCTCCTCTCCCTCCTTCTCCCCTCCCTCCAGTCTCCGGATCTCCCTCGGTCCCTCTCTCCTCCTCTTCCTCTCTCTGGACGCCCGGCTCCTCTGCACCCCCTCCCAGGGGGGCCCCACGGCTTGTGAGTTGACTGAGGGGTTCAGCCTTGGGGAAGGGGTGTCTCCTCGCTCCCGTCCCTGGCCTGGACCTTGGCTGTCTCCTCTTTGTGCCGAGATTGTCAGTCTGTGCAGCCAGAGCGGGGTGGAGACGGCTGGCTCTGTCACGGCTCCATGAGAGCGGCGCCCGGGCACGGGACTCGCAGGCGCCGGAGAGAAGAGGCATGGAGCCGGCCTTCGGCACTCCGGGGTTGCCGGGCGCAGCCGGCGGGGGAGGCAGGCGGTGCTGACGGGACTGGGTGGGGGTGGATGCCAGGGTTCTGGGAACGCGCTGGCAGCCCTGACGCCCGGGTTCCGAAAGTCCCGGGGTGGGTATTTCCCCCGACCCGCCTCGGGGGCGGAGTGCGGGGCAGAGGGGTGGGGGCTGGGGAGAGGCGTGGCCCCAGCGGCGCTGGAAGCTGAGCAGGGACCTTTGGGGCCCGCGCTGAGACGCGCCCGGCCGCTGCCGCCGCGCTCCCTTGCCCTCTTCCCTGCTTTCCCTTCTCCCCTAGACCTGCTCGCTGTCCTCTCCTGCTTGCCTCCTCAACACCCCCTCAGGTCCCGTTGCCCCCTCTCGGGAGAGACTCCCGGTCCTTCCTTCCCACACTCACCTCCCTGGGGCATCGCTGAGGCAGCCTGGCCTGCACCCAGGTTCCCCTCATCCCTGCCCCTTTTCTCTTTTCACCCTCATAGCAACTTTCCTTTTCGCCTTTTCTCTGTTTCTCACATCCTAGAGACTGTCTTTAATGCGCATTAACCTGTACTGCCACATCTGGCTCCTGCCCCATTGCCTCCAGTCTGGACTCTTCCTCTCACATCGCCCCCACCACCCCTAACCTGGGCTCACAACTTCTCTTCACTTTTTCCATTTCCCCTGTTCTCTGCCGTCTCTCTTTCCCTTGGTCCTCATCCTCAGCTTCTCTGCCCTGTTCGGTGTCCCACCTCTCCCCCTCCACTTCCTCTCCTCCCACCCTCAGTCTCACTCCCTGGGCCTCTCTGGGGCCTCTTCTTCCTGTTCTCTGCCCCCAGTGCTCCCTACCCTCACCTCAAGGCGACCATGACCACCATCCCAGACTGGAAGCTACAGCTGCTAGCCCGGCGCCGGCAGGAGGAGGCGTCCGTTAGAGGCCGGGAGAAGGCAGAACGGGAGCGCCTATCCCAGATGCCAGCCTGGAAGCGAGGGCTCCTGGAGCGCCGCCGGGCCAAGCTTGGGCTGTCCCCTGGGGAGCCTAGCCCTGTGCCAGGGACTGCAGAGGCCGGACCTCCAGACACAGATGAATCTGCGGTCCTTCAAGAGGCCATCGGGCCAGTGCACCAGAACCGATTCATCCGGCAGGAGCGGCAGCAGCAGCAGCAGCAACGGAGTGAAGAGCTGCTAGCTGAGAGAAAGCCGGGATCTCTGGAGGCCCGGGAGCGGAGACCCAGCCCTGGGGAGACGCGGGATCAGAGCCCCAAGGGAAGAGAGTCAAGAGAAGAGAGACTAAGTCCCAGGGAGACCAGAGAGAGGAGGCTGGGGATAGGGGGAGCCCAAGAGTCGAGCCTGAGGCCTCTGGAGGCTCGGGACTGGAGGCAAAGCCCAGGAGAGGCAGGAGACAGGAGCTCCCGACTGTCAGAGGCACGGAAATGGAGGCTGAGTCCTGTAGAAACTCCAGAGCGGAGTCTGAGACTAGCAGAGTCTCGAGAGCAAAGCCCCAGGAGAAAAGAGGTGGAAAGTAGGCTGAGCCCGGGCGAATCTGCCTACCCGAAGTCGGGCCTGACAGAGGCCCATAAATGGAGACCTGACTCCAGAGAGTCTCAGGAACAGAGTTTGGTACAACCAGAGGCAACAGAGTGGAGGCTGAGGTTAGGAGAAGAAAGAAAAGGCTACTCGGAAGAATGCGGGAGAAAAGAAGGGAGGCCAGTTCCAGGGGTGGCCCCAGAAGAGACTACAGAGCTGTCAGAGAGCCTGACAAAGGAGGCCCAAGGCAGCAGTTCTGCAGGAGTGGAGGCCGCAGAACAGAGGCCTGTGGGAGACAGCGAGAGGGGCACGAAGCCAGCAGAAGGGT